ATAGTTCACATGAATTTGTAACACAAAACGTAACAAGTATATTTTTGTTCCCTTAAAAACTGGTTATACATATTGTTCTAATCCCAAGGCAAAATTTATTTAATGTTTTTGGTGGTCGTGGTCAGTATGGAATTTTTGTCAGCAACTCAGAAGGAAAAATTTTAAATCAATTAATATAATTTAATCCAAAGATATATTAATCTAGCTTTTAAACATTGAGGGATGATGGTAGAAAGATGTTGAAAGCCCCTATTTTCTGTAAGCAGACCATATTACTTCTATGAGAGCAAAAAGCATACAATAAAGTTGCTGTGACTATAGGAAGATGTCATCTGGAACCTCAGCAGAGGTGTTGGAAGGGCATTCACCAGCATTGTTGGAGTAATGGGCACAGCGCAAAGTGTGTGTGTGCATTCAGAAAACCAGCAGTGAATCTGTGCAGTGTCTCACTAGTGAGTGCTTCCCAACACGCCTGAAGTCCCCCTTACATTTGGTTTTGAATCAAGCTTTGGTTGTTCTTCACTAAGAAATCATTTGTTGTTGCCATTTTTGAGCGCTTCACCTTCTGGTATATCGTATTATATAAAGTCAAGACACACAGCAAGAGGCTGGGCTCTTGAGGCAAGTTGTTTCCTTCCAACATAATTTTACACTGAAAGCTTTCCTTCTACAAAGCAGTTTGTGCAACAAACATCCTCACCTTGTCATTATCATTCTCAGCTGTATGAAACTGTACTCTTCATCAGATACCCATTCCTCCCTTTGTCTTTTCACACACACACACACACACACAAAATTTATATAAAACAGCCTCTGTGTAAATAGGCTTTTGGCTTGAGGAATACAGATGACAAGATGCAGACTTTGAACTTGGGAAGCTTGAGGTTGCTGTCTATTCTGATTTTTCAATACGTCATTTCACGTTGGAACTAACAATTGTTTTTATTTGTCTTGTCTGCTCATTTGCTTCTTTATTTGTTGTTCATGGGAGGTGGTTTTGTTACTGGGAAAACAATATGGCTGAGTGAGCTCTAGACTAAAGGAAGCAAGAAGAAAGTGTGTCTCTCTGGAGATAGAAGGTAAAAATGACTTTCGGGCATCCTCGCTTTCACACGGCTTGTTTCTCCTGCTTGCACAGCAGATGAGACCTCAGGCTAAGCCGCCTTGTTCAACAATAAAAGTTGTGGCTGTAGCCAGGTTTTTGATGATGTTTGCATTAGAAACTATCATGGCATGGGAAGAGCCAGCCCTGGCTGTATAGAAGGAAATCAAGGAGTCCTACTGCTAATATCTGCCAGGCACACAGCTTTTTCTGTAGCAGACAGGATTGCTTGCTTCCAAGGCAGTGTTTAGGGAGAGGTTCTGGGGATACACGATTCCTCCATTAAAATAAAGAAAAGGAAAGCAGTGATCTCCTTCCCCAGCAGCCTCCGTCTCCCTGCAGACCCCAGTTCCCTGCATTCTGTAAAAAACATTTCTCAATCGGAATAAGTAGGTGCTATCCAGTCACAGTGTTTTTTAATACTTGCTCTATAGTTATCTTCTTGAGGACATTTTGTGGCTCTGCAGCATTTATTAAGAACTATATTAAAGTGGGATAAACTCAGATAAAATGCCAGGAGAATGATAAACCAGTGACATTTCCAAGTTCCTGTGTGGAAAATGTCTACGAAGGCTGCACTGGGCTGGTGGTATTTCACAGGGCTGACACCACACTGCGAGGCTTCGTGGTGTATCACATCAGGCTAGATTTAGTTTTCTTTATAGCCTCAGCTCTGGTGAGCCTTGAGTTTCATGATGAAAGCTCTCAATGGGACCACCAACTTGAGATACCAGGAGCACGGAAGTACTAGGCTACTACAAACTTGGTCGTGGTTTTATCAGTAGAACGTTTCTAGAATGGCCAATAAGCTTTCTCTTCAGTTTCCTTCAAGGTCCATACAGAGGCAGGAGATGCCATTTTTCTATTTGAGTGATGATATATTTATTCTTATTATTCTCATTACTAACGATTGCACCCAGAGTTAAACGCATGCTAACCAAGTTGTATTATATATTGAATTTATTATTTTTTGACTATTGACATATGGAAACAAATAATTTTTATATATCATTTCTGTTAGTAGGCAACCATGATATCCAAAAGAGTTTATTATGCCCACATGGAATTTGGTTTCATGGGTGATTATTAACTTCCCTACTCATCTCTTCAAATAAAATGGAATGGCAGAAAAGGACAAAATCAGCATTACTTTCTGAGTCCCTGCTCTATAACAGGAGGATATGTGGGATAGGGTTCTCAGAATCTAGGACTTCAACAGCTACCAGACTTGGGCTCAGTCACCCATTACCTAACGTTCCTTATCGCTCACAACATTAACCAAGCTAGTCTGGATCCCGCTTGCCTTAGGCTTTCAAGAGGCTATGATGACAGGCCTGCACGACTAGCCAATCATGCCAGGAATTTGTGTGCGTGTTCCTGGAAATCTTATTTTTGCATTAAAAAAATTCTGAAGTATAAGTGTGGTTCTAGAAGTCTTGAAGACATGGTTGACCCTCTTACATGTCACCTAAAGTACGAAAATATGTTTACATTCTTCTGTAGCTGTGTCCCAGAAATGAAGTGAAGGGAGAGGAGGAGTGAGGGTGGGGGATTCCAGACAGATATCCCAGCACGGTCATAGGTCTGAAGAATTAGTTCATAAAGGAGAAAAATTCACATTAAACTGACAGACAAGGTAATTTGAACCTCCATTTTAACAATCCTGAACCACTGATCCTCATCATCCTGTATATTTTTGTCCCTCTCAATCACATGGCCTTGAGGCAGGGTCTCTTACTAACCCAGAAGCTTGCCCACGTAGCCCAGGCTGGCCTTACCACTAGGCTCCCTGCACCGCCTTTTCTCCTTGCCAATGTTGTGCATGTTTATGCATGTGAACCGAACCTAACTTTTTGCAGCGGTGATGGGAACTCAAATTCAGTTCTTTCTGTTTCAAAGCAAAGTCTCTTACCCACTGAGCCACTTTCTCAACCCCTCATTTTTTTTTTTATGCTTGTGGCTTGAAATCTTGTCTGGAGAATCGATCCGTGGATTTGGGCATGCTCTCAGTGTTGAGAGACAGAGAGCTATGCTTATGAACCAGAGTCGCCATAATATTTAACTAAAATGGAGGTGGAGGGTTCACCTTCTGCATGTGTTCAAGCTATTTCCACTGAAGCAAAATGTTCAAATTCATGTTACAAGTTACTTTGAGTGAAATGATAAAAGCTTTATTAGGAAATGTCTGCTTCCTGGGAGAAGAAAGCGGGAATTAATGTTTAGAGCATAGATTTTGAATTCCAGAGCATGTATCCATCAGAGAACTCTTACTGGCAGTGATTTTAATAGGTCCATAAGGAGCCTGCTTTTGTACAAATGAAGAACAGCTAAGCTAGTGAGGCCCCAGACTTTCTGAATTGTGAAAATGAATTCAAATAGAAAGAGTTCTGAGAATGCCCATAAGACATTGATTAATTCACTTCTTTCAAAGGATCTGCAGATCTTTGTACTTCCTCATTCTCCTTTTCCCTCCCTCTTTTAATAGCTTTTCCTTTTCTTCTTCCTTGTTCCCCATCCCTCACCATTTTTTTTCAATTCCACAATTTACAATTTTTCTGTCATAGGACAAGTAAATGGTTTAAAACAAAATTCCTCCAGTAGCTATTGTGTTCACCTATCTGTGTGTGTGTGTGTGGGGGGGGGGGGGCTATGCATGTATTTTTGCATCCCTGGGTTTTATGTATGAATGTAATTGGTGAGATTAACAGACTATTCTCACACTTGGGAAAACACACAAATAACTATTTATGAAAAATACAAGTCATATTTTAGAGAATTTGCATAAAACAAGTATTTGTTTATAGGAAATGCAATCATCGTTATAAGTTGGGTATACCTAGCAGAAGTGGCCTTTCAATTGTGTCTCTGAAAAGAGCCCGTGGGCTACGATGAAGCTGGAGCAGAACATTCTAAACTGCAAGCAGAACCCTTGAGAGGCTCACAGAGCACTGTGTAATGGATGTGGCACTTTAGGATTGGTAAAATGACTAAGTGTGTCTGATGAGGAGGCAGTGGGGTGAGAGGAGGCCCGCCATTTGCAGTCTGAGGCTCGCTGTTGTGTCCTGAACTGAGGTGCGCTTTTGAACTCTGCGTCTTCAAGGATGCTGGGTTGAATGGCTGCATACAGCAATACAGCATATGACTCTTTCCTTTATAGAAGTTGAACCAATTAAATTTCTTGGAATCCTGCTTAAAATGATGCACAAATGTACTTACTTATACTTAAGTGATTCTGTTCTATAAAAATTTGTGGATAAAGCATGATTGCCTGTCTTATTTATATAAGAGAATAATCCTTTCCATTCAGTATGGTCTCTGACAGGGTATAAAACAGGATTTCTTTTTACATCAATATATGGATTTGGGACATATTAGAATGTGAGGTGACTCTGCATTTTTTTTAATTGACATTGGTCCAACGCTGCTGAGAATGGTCACTCTGCTACAGGTGTTTTTGAACTGCTTGGGTCACATGATATACACAGAAGCTCACAAACTTTTGTAAATTTTAAGTGGCAAACTTTAATTCAATCAGTTTTCTCTGTGAATCTCTATGCAAGCCAACTGTCTAAAGCTGTATGCCTCACATCTTCCTGATGGGCCATCCAGGACCGCATGACGTCGGTAATGTGATAATAAGGGTGTGTGCATTCCATGGGTAGGACATACTTTGAAGTCTCAGCTAAAGGGCACATGGTATTCTTGCCAGAGTTCACCCTGGCTTTAGACAAATAAAAGATGCATTGTTATTTTTATTTCAAGTGGAAATTTCGTTGCCGCATGCCCAGGATTGTGGTCTGCTCAGAAACCTGTGGTTATTAACAGTCTGTGGTCTTCACTGAGACACCTGTGAAGTTATTAATGTCAAGTTATCTTTTCATGTTTCTCCATTTTATAGGTCTGTGATGGGGTCGAGCAAAGATCCAGACCTTGTGCATCTTGAGGCCAGGACCATAGATGGACGTAAGTAATTCAACTGTGCCCTGAAGTTCACGGTAGTATTGGTTCTGTCATTTGGTCCTCAACCAAGTCTACAGCCACAGTAGTAATCATCCAAGTCATATGGGGATGTAGACATTTCCTTGTGTCCAGAAATCTAGGATTTGCTTAATAATTTTTACAAACATATGGATTTTCATAGATTATGCACTGAGGGAGAATTCTAATACTCTGGATTCCCCTGGGACAGGGGGACGTGCATATGGAGACAGAGAACACCCTCAGAGTTACTCATTGCTATCCACCTTTTATATTTATCTACTGATGAATCAAAAGATTTATCTGACTTTTGTGTGTGAGGGCCTTGCTTTCGTGAATGTATGTGTGCCGTGTGTGAACCTGGTGCATATGGGGGTCAGAAGGAAGCATTGGATCGCCTGGAGAATGGTTGTTAACTATTGAACTGACTAGCTTTATGTCTTCTTGAAACAAGCTAGAGTCTTCAGAGAAGAGGGAGCCTCAATTGAGAAAATAGCTCCATAAGATCAGGCTGTGGCAAGCCTTAGGACATTTTTAATTAGTGATTTGGGGGGGGGTGTCATCCCATTATGGGTGCAGCCGTCCCTGGTCTGGTGGTCCTGGGATGTGTAAGAAAGCAGCCCGAACAAGTCATGAGGAGTGACCCAGTAAGCAGTGTCCTCCATGGCCTCTTCTTTAGCCTGCCTCCAGCTACCTGCTTTATATAAGTCCCTGCACTCACTGCTTTTGATGATGAGCTGTTATACGGAACTGTGAATGAAATAAACTCTTTCTTGACCATGTTATTCTTGGTTATGGCATTTCATCACAGCAGTAGCAGCCCAAACTGGACATATTGGTAGCAGGATGGTTGGGTATTTCTGTGACAGACTTTACCATGTTGTTTTGGGGGAGAATTATGGAAATACTTCGGAATTTGGGGCTAGAGATGCCGTTGAGTATTGAGAGCTCAGTAAGCTGTTCTATAGGATCATGGAAGATAAGATTGCTGAGAATAGTACAGATGATGAAGGCCTGGTTTGTGAAGTTTCACAGGGAAACAATGGCCTTGTCAGGCTTTTTCTGTGAAGAATCTGTGGTCAGCTGTAGCAAAAGAATTGGCCATGATTAAGAAGATATCAAAACCACTAAAGTAAAACCTTTGCTTTGTTGGGACAATGGATGCTGGTCAGCTGGGCCTGAAGAATCAGTTGTCATTAAGAAGAGACCAACATCCTTGTGTATTGGTGTAAATGAATTTAGACAGATTTTAATAATATATACAGCTTTAATGGGGAAATAGACCAACAAAACCACCAGTTCCTGCTGGATAACAGAAAAGCAGAGAGATGTGAGTTAACCTCAGATACTTGGACATTGAGTTATTTACACTGGTGGAATTTGGTTTTGCTTTACTCAGACTGTGACCGTGCCCTGGTTTTTCCCTCTTGAAGGAAGAATTTAACCTAATTTTTATTTTTACAGGGCCCTGCAGTTGAAAGCCTTTGTGCTTTTAAAGGTGATCTTGGATTTTTAAAAGAGATTAGATTATAATAAAGACACTGAAATTTGAAGTGTTTGAATTTGTAAAGACTGTCTGACTTTTAAAGTTACTTGCGTTTTATATTGTGATATTAATATTAATGTACCATATTGAGGGTAAATGAGAAATGAAAGGTTCTAATTGAAAGGTGATGTGTTTTATGGGCAGTTGACAAGGGATCAGGTGCACTGGTTAGTTTTACTTCAACTTGACACAAGCTGGAGTCATCAGAGAGGAAGGACCCTAAACTGAGAACATGTATTCATAAGATCAGGCTGTGGCAAGCCTGTAGGACATTTTCTTAGTGATTGATGTGGGAGGGCTCAGCTTATTGTGGGTGTATCTACCCTGGACACCATAGTGGTCTTGGGTTCTAGAAAAAAGCAGGCTGGGCAAGCTAGGAAGAACAAGCAAGTAAGCAACACCCCTCCATGGCCTCTGCATCAGCTCCTGCCCTATTTGAATTCCTGCCCTCACTGCTTTTCATGATGAACTATTACATGGAACCGTGAGTGGCATAAACCTTTTCCTCCCCATGTTGTTTTTCTTCATGGTGTTACAATACAGAAACAGTAACCCAAACTAAGACAGCTACAACGTTGGTTCCTGGAACCAAAACCAGGTCCCTTTCAAGAGCAAACAATGATCCATACCACTGAGCCTTGAGCCATCTTCACATCCGCAGCCCACCTTATCCACAAGCAAGTTTTTTTTAATGTATTTATTTCTTTATTAATTAATTAAAGATTTCTGTCTCTTCCCCACCGCCGCCTCCCCTTTCCCTCCCCCTCCCCGAGTCAAGTCCCCCTCCCTCGTCAGCCCAAAGAGCAATCAGAGTTCCCTGCAATGAGGGAAGTCCAAGGACCACCCACCTCCATCCAGGTCTAGTAAGGTGAGCATCCAAACTGCCTAGGCTACCACAAAACCAATAGNCCCCGAGTCAAGTCCCCCTCCCTCGTCAGCCCAAAGAGCAATCAGAGTTCCCTGCCCTGTGGGAAGTCCAAGGACTGCCCACCTCCATCCAGGTCTAGTAAGGTGAGCATCCTATGAGACAAACTCTCTCACTGTCCTGGTAGTGCTCAAGTAGACTCCCCACCTGGCCACAAAGCCTAGGATCTATCCACCACTCTTGGTCACAAAGCCTGGGATCTATCCACCCCTCCTGGCCACAAAGCCTGGGATCTATCTACCCCTCCTGGCCACAAAGCCTGGGATCTATCCACCCCTCCTGGCCACAAAGCCTGGGATCTATCCACCTTTCCCTCCTAGAACCAGGATTATAAGTCTGAAACTACCCATGCCCAACTTTTGCTAAAATGCGGGTTCTGGGGATCAAAGTCATGTCCTCATGCTTGCAAAGCAAGCTCCTGGCCAACTGAATTGTTTTCCTAGCCCTAAGTTCCTTATTTCTAAAGCTTATTTTCCTCAGTTCCCTCGTTTTGTCAGATAATACCTTTCTGTTCTGCTTAGGGATTCTCACAAAACACTTTGAAAGAAAGGGAAAATGAATTATCCCCTTGTGAGACTCATCACGAGCAGCAGGAGAAAGAAGTCACTAGACTAGATTGCCACCCTGTGGTAGATAGTACAAGCCCCTAGTAGACGTATTACAGGAAAGAGCATCAGTTAGCGAGGACATGCTTAGACATGCTACAGGGAAGAGCATCAGTGAGGACATGCTTAGACATGCTACAGGGAAGAGCTCCACTTAGCGAGGACATGCTTAGACATGCTACAGGGACAAGCATCAATTAGTGAGGATGTGGAGTGAGGTATATGAAGTCCACGAAAGAAAGTTGCAAATCCAGAATTCAAACCCATTTATAAAAATATCTCAAAATATCACTCATTATTTGTATCACCTCAAAAATACCATTTTTCATTTTCATATTTCATTTTTCCTGAATATTAAGAAAACCTATACTAATGGTTCTAAGTTAGCTTGATTGAGAAATGACTTTGTGGCACTTGCACCAGGTGTTTTATAGAATTTGCACAATAAGTCCTCCTGACAGTTTTTTAGACAGTGAGTTCCATTTCATAGATGAGAAAAATGAAACAAAAAGTTAGACGATATCTGTAGGATGTTTGGAGGATACACCGAGCACAGTAGGGTCTATTTGCAAAGTCCATTCAGATGAGGATAGGAAAGTCAGTATGTGTGAATCACTGTGCACAGTGACTTTTCTGTCCAACATTTAAGCTGCAACAATGTAAGTTTCCTTCACCTGCTCTGGATCCTCTGTTGACATACTATTACCATGCATCAGAGCACAAAACAAGTGGTAGAGGTGGATGGAATGAGGAAGGAAAAAGTGGTGTTTCAGCCAGTGGCTTAGCAGTATAGAGCTAGGTGGGAAAACTAAATTGAATGCTGGAAGAAAGAAGGTAGAGTCAAAGAGAAGCCATGAAGCCACCAGAGGGGAGAGGTGCAAACTGTCATTTGGAATCTTGCCGGTAGGCCGTGTGTCTCGTGGTAAAATATAAAATAAAATAAACGGGTTAACCAAAGATATAAGAGCTAGCTAGCAATATGCTTAAGTGATTGGCGAAGCAGTGATTTAAATAATAGAGTTTCTGTGTGATTATTTCAGGAGTCTGGGCAGCCGGGATATGAACAAGCTTTCTATGGCAACAGAAAAGGTCGTAGTAGAAAATTGTTGAGGGAGAAAAGACAGGTAGAAAGAAAGACTTCATATGTAAAAGATAGTGAAAATGGACCAAACAAGTACTACAAAGCAAACACATTTAGTCACATGCCCAGCACTAATCTAGAGGGTGAGCATCCTTTGTTCCTAGTATGTTCCTCAGAATTGGAACGACACTACCTCATTCCCCATAATACCTATCTCCCTCTCCTCGAACCTTATGTATGCAAAGGTAGAATATAACCGGACTTTGTAACCTCAAGCCAGAAAAGGAACTCACCCAGAAGCCACACAGCTTCCAGGAATATCATTTGAAATTTTCATGGCATGTTTCCTTCCTAGATATTTTACTTCCCAGTTGGAGCATACATACCTTCTTGGGCATGGTCAGTGGAAGAACAGAACTGAGTCCAAAACAGACCCTGCCTTACCCGTGTCTATCCAAGCAGGGTTGGTGTGTATGAGATGCCCAGCAGTGCAGCTGACCCAGAAGGCTTAGCAGTTGGAGCTTCTTTTTCTTTCATCTGGGCTTTCTCTCGGTGAGCTTTCTTTTTCCTTGCAGCAGGTGATATTATCTTGGACTCGAGGTTCAGGTTTATTATATGGCAGAGAGGGAAATCTTTTCCTGAGCAACAGCAGGGACCCAACTGCTCTAAAGATCTCATAGACTCCCCACTCCTCGGATGGTTGTTAGGAAAGTCTTAGAGTCCTCCTGTAGCTCAGCATAGCTTGGGGTCTGCCTATTGCCTGAACCTAGTCTCACCTTGTACCTTCCATAAGCCCTGACTGCAGGCTTTTGCGTTTGCTTCTAGCCG